TTACAACAATTATTGGTAACTGAACCAGCTGCTTCTCATAAGCGACTGCAACTGAAGTTGTACCCTTAATTAGTAATGATCCCCTGGTATAGGTTCTCAGCCTGGCTGAGTTCTTGCGCAAATGTGAGGGTTGGAATCCAGACTGAATTTTGATAAAGACTAATTTTGCGATCATAGAAACAGATGCGCTAATATCAATCTCCCTTAGAAATGGGTGACTATTAACCAGATGTTTATTTTTATTGGTTCTGGTTTGGATGTTGCTAAGCAATTTAACTGTTCCAAATCAGGTGTGGGTGGATTTTCCCGGGTATGCACCATCCTGCATACTGGCCTATGAGTCCTCTTACTCAATTTCGGTGTAGTGGTGTTCTTTTGCTGTCTCGAGACCACACACCGACAGCAACTGCAATGGCTTGCCGGCCCGGATCCTCAAGAAAATGTTAAACATTTGGCCAAGGCTTGGCTTTGTTTTGGGGTTTTTATGTGGGCTGACCTAGAGTCCCTCTGTTCAGTATATGTCCTGAGTGAGACCATGCAATTGCTTTCACTCAAGTGGTGTTCTCCTAGCTCAGTCAGACTCACAAGGATGTCCCTTTCATCAATACACCTTGCAAGTGAAATGCTACATCTTTATCCAGGATAAAGCCAGTTGTAGTGTTGGTTTGAATTCCAGTTAGGCTTCAGCTAATAGGCACTTTTGCATGGTTACATTATTAATCCCACATATAGTCTCTCAGCATCTCATTAAGGGTTAAACCAAAGTTGCATGTCTCAGCTGGTCATCATAACCTAATCAAAAATCCCGACACATTTTCCTAATTCTTAAGTTGCCAAGTAAAAATGATAGCGTCTCAGAATTAGAGGAGGCTTCAGGTTGTAATATGCCTTAACACATGGTGGCTCAGTGGTTAGCACTACGGCCTAGGACCTGGGTTCGACTCGTGTCTACATGGGTTTCCTCCAGGTGCTTCAGTTTCCCCCTATAGTCCAAAGATGTCCAGGTTAAGTGGATTCACCATGCTAAATTGCCCATAGTGTCCATGTGCAGGCTAGGTGATTTAGCCATGGGAAACGTAGGGCTACAGGCATGGGGGTGGGTATGGGTGGGATGCTCTTTGGAGGGTCAATGTGGACTTGATGGGCTAAATGGCCTGCTTGTACATTGTAGGGATTATATGATTCTAAATCCGTCAACTCTTGAAAGTTTTTAGTATCTGGTGCCTCAGGAAAGTTAGGCTCCTAATAACTGACAAAGCTGCGGGTCCACAAGCTGCAAGTCCACAAGCTGTCAGAAGAATTACTCGTTGCTTTCCATCTGCCCCAATGGCTCTTTCCTGGAAAAACATAATATATGTTTTCCACATACTGGGCCCAGTCTTCAATGGCAGGATCAAACGAGTCAAGCTTCCCAAATAACAGCATGATACCACAAATACTTATCCCGACTCAAAGATGACTGTTGCAAGTGAATTTCTTCAGGAGTGTGCTTTTCCCTTGTTGTCACCGAAATAATTCCTCAGAGGCCGGTATCCTGTCACTGAAGCACCGATTAGTTACACATGGAAAGTCCTTGACACTGATCTGGCTTCCTCAGATCCAGCTCTCATTGTGAGCAGAACATCTGACACTACTGTTTATTGCTAACAGCAAGGGCTCCCTGATTGGACCAGATTAACAGCCCCAAACAGGGAACTCATCTCCTAGGACATCCACCTGGCTGACCTTGTTACAATCACTACAGAATCAACCTGTGAAGAGAGAGGAATAAACCAAAGAATTTGATGAACCAGCAAAAGTTACAAGTATCTGGGAAATATTTACATTTCTACAGAATTGGATAATTAGAAATGGACTTGTTAAAATTGAAAAGTTTAATTCTTACCTTTGTTGTCTTCGATTAAGTCATTTACTGCTGGCTTGTAATGTGTCATTCTTTCCCTGATGCACACAAAGAGTCTTGGGTAAATTAATATCGGGTATACTGGTTGGGGAGTCTGCAGGGTTCTAGAGACACCCTGTCCTGGGCAATAACCTAATGGAGTTCAGGCAGTATTTGACGGCGATCTTCACTCTGGACAATAATTCTTGCTCCAGATAACAATATGCCATCCTCTACAGTGAGCTGGTCTCTCCGGGCTCAAAAAGGTTTCAATTCCAGTCTGAAGACCTTCGGTTTCCCCCATTAATACCAAATTTTTCAGTTTGGAAACATGGATCTTTCTGTGTCCGAAGTCTGATATTGTTAGCTGTGACTGAGAGCAGGTCCAGAAAATTTAATATTATTACAGACTCTTCCACTGGGGATACTATGGGGTGGTGTATCTGCTACTGGGAGGTGGCTCAATGCATCCGCAGTCACCACAGCCTCATGGTCAGTGTCCTAACTTATAATTATAAGTAATTAGTATTATAGCCCACAGCTGAATGCAGCCTAAAGCTATGGGCAGTATTGCCTTATTGTCTTTAAGTAAACCAAGTAGGGGTTTGTGATCCATGATTATTATGAATTTTCATCCTTAATGGTATTGGTGGAACTTCCTGCCTTCTAGCTCTGAACTCAGACTGATGAATAATAACTGCTGAGCAAAGAATTTTTAACAACTACCACAGCTTCTATCACCTTTCAGTGCTCATTTGCTGCCACCATGATATTATGTGGTTTTCCAAATTTTAGTCCATTTGACATTTATCATAGAGACACTGTTATTTGATGCTGGATGTTAGCTGTTGGGTGTCAACTTCAGTTCTGAATTCAGACAGTGGATGGATGATGGTGAGGAAAAGAATTTCCACACCTCTCATTATTGCTATCACCATTTCAACCTTCAATACCAACTTGCTGTGACACGCTTCTAGTGTCTGGTTGCTGCCCACGTGTCCACTTGCAATGATGTGATATGATTTTCAATATGTCAGCCCACATAACATATATCACAGAGCCTAAGGTGCACGTTAAAGCCGACATCTTGAAGTTGATTAACAACTGTGTACACTAATATGACAGCTCAGACTTACATATGTAATCTGGGCTATATGCTTATTTATGTTACTATTACACAATATACATAGTTGGCTGGCTGTCCAATTGACTTGCTAACAGACTGGCTGCTTTCAGGCTGTGTGTACAGAGAGTACGATAGAGACCTTTTATACCATAATGTGTTGTGATGTCAACTAGCTGCCTTAACACTATAGTATCTTTAGTACATCTATGCAACAATGGCTATACACTTCTGTGAGTTGGTCTCTTCCTAACTATATGCAGATTTTGCCTCTACACTTGCCTTTAAATTAAATGCAATGTCAGTACCTGACCTGACAGCTGTACTGTGAAATTAAGCGCAGGGTGACTTAACGGCACTTTTTTCAAATCCTCCCTCTTTTGACTGGGCAGGTGCAGTTCTTATGTAATTAAAAGGAGAAAAGTACAAGGGTTGCATTATAGTGATGGGAAAGGATATTGTAGGATTTATGTGCTTACATTATCAACAGTGTCATAATCATGAGATACTATAGAAGGAGGGGAAAACGGGAAATGTAGAATTACTTAAATATTTTCAATTAATGCTGCATGATTTGTTAGGTTTCAATTAATGATTTTTTTACATTTTTGTGAATTTCTTTTATGTTAAGGTCATATTGTAATGTAACATGACTTTGCTGAAGCTCTCTCAATGTAATTGTTTATAGAATATAATGAGTTGGTAAAAAGAGATAGTCTGACAACTGTCTACAATAATCAAGGATGGGATGGTATATGGAAAAGTCAACTTAGTGGCATACTCCTGCCCTCTAATTCATGGATTTTTATGTCCAGAAGAGAAAATATATGAAAGACACAATCTAACTATTCAAGGGAAAAACATGGTATGAAAGGTGAGATCATACCTGATCAATGCTGGAACATGATAGAGAAGGGACTCAAAACAGGGATTCCTTGTAACAAATCCAGGATGTAGAGAGGAAATAGAAATTAAAAGCATGGAATTTTACTGCAGCTGTACAGGTTCTTGGTTAAATCACATATAAAGTATTATGTACAGTTTTGTTCTCCTTATTTGTGAGATAATACAATTACGATAACAGTTCAAAGAAGTCTCATACAAGTAACTCCTGGGGTGGAGGGCTTGTATTATGCAGAAAGGTTGAACACATTGGGTTTGGAAGAATGAGAGGCCATCTTGTTTACATTTAAGATCATGAGAGGGCTTAGCAGGGTGATATTAGAGGATACTGCTCCTTGAGGGGGAGAGGAGAACTTGGGGATACAGTTTAAGAAGAAGAGGTTTCACCTTTAAGATGGAAGCATAATAATTGTGGATTGTGATTTAAGTAAAAGAAGAGCTGGGCAGAGGGCAGTGATGCATGGTTTTACAGTTGTGCAATTCACTAGCCTGAAAAATAGTGAGGCTGACTGCTCATTACATTCTTCAAAATGTTGCCAAAATCCTAATTCAGCCTCAGACACCAGCCAGAGATGGAGTTTGTGACTTATGAATGGAGTTTGTGTCAGGTTTTGTCTTCTAAACATTTAATTGGAGAAGATTACTTCTCATTTGGTGCAGGATGTCAGACAAGCAGCGCAACAATTCAGGCTCAGGTTGATGTGTTACTGAGATAGCACTGGATGTTTTAAGACTCAAGTTGGAAGTCGAGATTATCACATGGAAATAAGTAATTGAAAAATAGATGTCTGCCAAGAATAGAATACTGAGGTAGCAATGTGGAAGCAGGAAGAGAAGCAATTGCAGCTGATAATCTTACGATGGTGAAACATGTAACTAGCGCAGTTCCACCCATCTGGACCTCATCAAGAATGGAGCAGGATGGTGTGGCCAGAAGGAAAAGTTATGCGTTCAACTGTTTGGTGAAAATGATGTCAAGGTACTAAGTGACAGGACTGATAAACAAGATTTTGTTTTACAGGGTGAATTTAAACTACTGTGAGCATCAACTGAAGTTTTCTAAGTATGTAAAATATTGCAATATTAACATACCACATTTGGAATTGCCAAGAGCACTTCAGCCTTCAAAAAGGGAGGAAATTCCTCAAAACTGCTTGAGTAGCCAAAGGTCCCCCTTCTGCTTGATGTGTTGAATCAAATCAAATGTGTACATATAAAATAAACATAAAAGTAAATAAGACAATGTCTCATGATACCCTTCATAATTTATTTTAAAACTAGCATTTTTTGTTGTAAGATTCTCCAATCATTATAAAACTGTAATGCTCGTTACAGTGAATGGAGATATGCTGGGAAGCAAGCATTTGACTTAAGAACACAACAACAATATTGGTGACAACCAGATCAAAGTGTAAACTTGCAGTCAGGAAAAAATATGACACACAATATATTTCGAGTAAGGATACATATTGAGGGAAAGTTTCAGAAAAATTAGTAAGAGAATCTGGAAGGCAGAGGAAACAAAGGTTAGAGAATAATTTTACAAAGTTTTGCCCTGCTCAAGACTATACTTCAGTATAATGGCTACAGCAAATAAAACAGATGTGCTAAGGCACAAATAGAAGTACAATAGAATGATATCATTGATCTGTCATTCCTGTCCCCTCTTCTGTTTCTGTAATAGCAATGTTCTGGTGATTTGACTTTAAGGTGAGAGGGAGAGACGGATAAAAAGAGAGAGGGTTGGTAATCCTGATCAAACAAACCATTACAGCTGTGAGGAAGAATGAAGGATGTTAGAAGGCTCATCAAAGGAGGTTAAATGGATTGAGCTAGGGAACAAAAAAAGGGCTGTCACATTCATGAGTGTGTACCATGGATCTCAACAGGGGTACGAGAGTGAGACAGAACAGCAAATACGCAAGTACACCTCTAAGAAGTGCAAAAATAACAGGTAACTGGAACAGTTTTAGGGAAAAGGAATGAAGAGAACAGATTTTTTGAAAATGCTTCCTCTGTCTTTCAGAGTCACGTGCTAAGTTTCTGCCTCTTACTCCCTGTTCTGAATTTGCCCACAGGTTCTCTCCCCTTGCTAATCTAGCTTAGACCCTCCTCAACAGTACTAGCAAAGAGCATTTATTCTGGATTTGTACAGGTGTAGACTCTTCACCTTCTACAGGTCCTAACTTCCTCAGAATTGTCCCAAATGTCCCAGAAATCTAATGCCCAGCCTCCTATACTAGCTTTCCAGCGATATGTTCAATCACTTAATTCTTCTACAGGAGTAGGGATGTCTTGCTGCAATTATATAGGGCCATGAGACTATACTTGTAATATTGTGGGTAGTTTTGGTCTCCTATTTGAGGAAGGATGTGCATGCTTTAGACAGAGTGCAGCAAAGCTTTACCAGACTGACTCCTGGGATGGCAGGTCTGACCAATGAGGAAAGGTTGAATCAGTTAGGAATACATTCACTGGAGTTCAGAAGAAGGAGGGATATGGACTAAGGGCAGACAGAAGGGATTAATTTTATTTGTTGTCATGTTCAGCACAACATTGTGGGTTGAAGGGCCTGTTCCTGTGCTGTACAGGTCTACGGGCAGCACGGTGGCTCAGTAGTTAGCACTACTGCCTCACAGCGCCAGGGACCCAGGTTCGATTCCACCTTTGGGCGACTGTCTGTGTGGAGTTTGCACATTCTCCCCGTATCTGTGTGGGTTTCCTCCCACAGTCCAAAGATGTGTAGGCTAGGTGAATTGGCCATGCTAAATTGCCCGTTGTGTTCAGGGATGTGTGGATTATAAGGGAATGTGTCTGGGTGGGATCCTCTGAGGGTTGGTGTGGACTTGTTGGGCCGAAGGGCCTGTTTCCACACTGTAGGGATTCTATGTTCTATCTCATAAAAACCTTTAAAATTTTAAAAAGAACTGATGGAATAGACAGAGGAATAACGTTCCTGATGGCAAGGGAGTCCAGAACTAGGGGTCACAGCCTAACAGTACAGGGTAAACCATTCAGCACTGAGGTGAGAAATTTCTTCATGCAAAGAGCAGTGAGCTATAGAATTTGCTACCTTAGAAAGCAGTCAAGGCCAAAACATTGTATGATTTCAAGAAGGAATTGAATGTAGCACTTGAGGCTAAAGGATTCACAGGACATGTAGGGAAAAGTGGGAACAGGCTATTGAATGATCAGCCATAATCTTATTGAATAGCAGACCAGGCTTGAGGAGCTGAGTTTTCTACTTCTGCCCACGTCTGCACTGGAGCCCAGTATGAGGGAATCAGACCTCAGCTCAGGCCTGAAAAAGTGGAATGGGAGTTCCAGTTGTTGTGGTCCATGTAGGCATCAATGACATGGTAGGACAAAGAAAGATGTTCTGTATAGTCAATTTGTGTAGCTGGGCGCCAAATTAAGAAGCAGAACCAACTATTATCTCTAGTATGCAACTTGCCCCTTGGAAAATAATAAACTAGATTAAGATAAATTAACATTCACAATCACTGGGTTAAATTAATCATAGAATTCCTTTCTTAACTGTTTTGTTGCAACAGGCCAAGGACTGCAGCAGTTCAAGAAGGTACCTTCACCTTCTTCAGAGCAATTAGTGACCATAAAACATAGGAACAGAAGTAGTCCACTCAGCCTATCAATCTGGCTTGAGATCAATGGGATCATGGCTGATCTGATAATCCTCAATACCACTTTCCTGCCTTATCCCCTTAACCTGTTTTCCTCATTTATCGAACATCAGTTTATCACAGCCTTGAATATATTTAACGATCTAGCACTGACAGCTTTCTGCTGTAAAGAATCCCTCACATGCACTGCCCTCAGAGAAGAAATTCCTCTTCTGTCTTAAATGTGTGACCCCTAGTTTCTGAGATGATACCTTCTGGTCTTAGATACTCCCACAAAGGAAAATAAACTTTTCATGCATATACACCATGACGGCTCAGTGGTTAGCACTGCTGCCTCACAGAGCCAGGAACCTGGGTTTGATTCCACCCTTGGGCGACTGTCTGTGCGGAGTTTGCACGTTCTCCCCGTGTCTGTGTGGGATTGCTCCAGTTTCCTCCCACAGTCCAAAAATGTGTAAGTTAGCTGGATCAGCCATGCCAAATTGCCCATAATATTCAGGGATGTGTAGATTAGGTGGGTTATAAGGAGATGATGGGTCTGGGTGGGATGCTCTGAGGGTCAGTGTGGACTTGTTGGGCCGAGGGGCCTGTTTTCACAGTGTAGGGATTCTATGATACTCTGTGCAGTCACCCAAGAATCTTGTACAATAAAACAAACTATGGATGCTGAAGATATGAAACAAAAACAGAAATTGCTGGTGAAACTCAGCAGATCTGACAGCATCTGTGGGGAGAAAGCAGAGTTAACATTTTGACTCTGCTGACTTTTCTTCAGAACTGATAGCAGCCAGGAACCAGTGGTATTTAAACTGAAGGTAAGTTAAGAGATGGGGGAAGAGATAAGCAGCTAGATAGAGACAGTCCCCAGAGACAGATTTCAAAATTTCTGGTCCTTGGCAGCAGTTGCCCCTTTGTCACTATCCATCTCTCATCAGGATGGTCTTAGGGCTCTCCGCTTCTCCCTAGAAAGAAACTTGAACTGTCTCCATCTATCACCATCCTTTCTCGCCTGACCAAGCTCATTCTTACTTTGAACAACTTCTACTTTAACTCCTCTCACTCCCTTCATATTAACGGTGTGGCCATCGGTATCTGCATGGGTCCCAGTTATGCCTGTCTCTTTCAGGGGTATGTGCAGCATTCCTTGCACACCTCCCACACCTCTTTTCTGGTGCAGCAATGACATCATCAATGCTGCTACACCCTTTCATTCGAAACTGGAAAAAAATCAATTTCACTTCCAATTTCCACTCTGCTCTCACCATAAGACCATGAAATGTAGGAGCAGTCTTAGGCCATTCGGCCAATTGAATCTGCTCCACCATTCTATCATGGCTGATATGTTTCTCAGCTCCTACTCTCCTGCCTTCTTCCCATAAATCTTGATCCCCTTACCAATCAAGAACCTATCTATCTCTGACTTAAATAGACTCAATGACTTGACCTCCACAGAACTCTGTGGCAATAAGTTCCACTAATTAGCTACCATCTGGATGAAGAAATTCTTCCTCATCTCAGTTCTAAAAGGTCGTCACTTTACTCTGAGTCTGTGGCTTCAGGTCCTAGTCTCTCCTACTAGTAGTAACATCTTCTTAATGTCCACTCTTTCCCGGCCTCTCAGTATTCTGTAAGTTTCAATCAGATCCCCCCATATCCTTCTAAATTCAATCAAGTACAGACCCAGAGTCCTCAACCGCTCCTCGTATGATAAGTGTTTCATCTTTGGACCCCCTCCAATGCCAGCACATCCTTCCTCAGATACAGAGCCCAAAACTGCTCATAATATTCCAAATGTTGTGTTGGTTGGCTCACCGAGCTGGTTCGTTGTTTTTCATCAGATGTTTCATTACCCTGCTGCGTAACATCATCAGTGCAGCCTCCGATGAAGCCAAATGTGGTCTAACCAGAGCCTGAAACAACCTCAGCAGTACATCTACGGTCTTATATTCTAGCCCTCTTGAAATGAATGCTAACATTGCATTTGACTTTCTAACCGCCAACTGAAACTGTGTGTTAACCTTTAAAGAGTCCTGAATTAGGATTTCCAAGTCTCTTTGTGCTTCAGATTTCTGAAGCCTTTCCCTGTTTAGAAAATAGTTTACACCTCTATTCTTCCTCCCAAAGTGCATAACCTCACACTTTCCCACAGTGTATTCCATCAGTCACTTCTTTGTCCACTTGCTGAGCATGTCCAAGTTCACGTGCAGCGCCCCCACTTCCTGAACACTACCTGGACCTTCACCTCTCCTTGTGTCATTTGCGAGCATAGCATCAATGCCCTCAGTCCCGTTGTCCAGATTGTTAATGTATAATGTGAGTAGTTGTGGTTCCAACCCTCCGGAATTCTACTAGTCACTGGCTACCATCATGAAAAATACTTCTTCTTCCCCATTCTCTGCCTTCTGCCAGCCAGCCAATCCTCTTTCCATGCTAGTACCTTGCCCCTAACTCCATGTAATCTTAGACAACAAGGTGCAGAGCTGGACG